GCAGTAATTTCTTTTTTTGCCTATCTTTTTACTTAATGTATTTGTGTCTTTGCATCTAATGTGTCTCTCACAGCTTACAAACTTTTTTAAATCCATTTTGCCACTCTCTGCCTTTTGATTGGAGAATTTAAATTGTTTACATTTAAGGTCATCATCAAAAAGGAATGACTTACTTCGGTTATTTTCCTATTTGTGTCTTATACCTTCTTTTACTCTCATTTCCTCTAATACTGCCATCATTTGTGTTTAGCTGACCTTTCTTAGTGAACCATTTTGACTCTCTTTTCCTTTCCTTTTGTGTATACCTTTTTAGGTATTTTCTTTGTTGCTACCATGAGGATGAAACTTAAAATCTTCCTACAACCAGAATGTTCCTTAGAAGCTAAGACAGTGAGACTTTGGGCCAATTACTTGGGTATTTCATCAAGAAAGACCAATCACTAGAAAAGCACATCCTATTTGGAAAAATAGAGGGTCAGCAAAACTGAGGGAAACCTTCAATCAGATGGTGGACACAATAGCCACAGCAGTGCCCTCAAACATGAAGATGGCACAGGACCGGGCAACGCTTGTACTGTTACACATCAGGCCACTATAAGTTGGAGCTGACTCAATGGTATCTAACAAGAACAAGAACAAAGTTTAAATTGAGTATCAACTTAATCTTCAGCAACACAAAAAACTCCATTCATATATAGCTCCACCCCCTACTTTATGTACCTATTGTTAGCAAAATGTTGAAATACATTAGTTAAAGTGAAAGGAAGATAGGAGAAAATAGCCATGACTCAACAGATCAGAGCAGGCTTTATTGAAGAACAGCCCATGACAAATGGCTCTAACAGCTGCATGGACAATGCCAGTTGCAGAGTAGAGCCCCCCCCCCCAGGGGATGTTACCTCTTTTATAGGGGCCTCTGGAACACATGAGTTTTTGCATGAGTTGTAGTTTCCAGGAAGTGGGCTTGTCTTTCTGACAAGGCTGAGGAGAATGTGTGGAGTCTGCAGGCTAGTTACTTATCATTGAGGTTTCACCAGGCAGGGAGGGTGTGGGGTCTGCAAGCAGAATTTCTCTCTAAGGTTTCACGAGGCGGGGAGGGTGTAGGGTCTGCAAACAGGATTCATCTTTGAGGTTTCAGGGTGTCTTAGCCAGGTTTAGAGTAGCCAGTTCAGTCCTTCACCTATCATAAAATACATCTTTATACATATATGCCAAATAGCATTGTATATTTTATGTGCTTGTCTTTAGGAGATACGTAGGATACAGCTATTAAAGTTGCAAATCCAAACTATCATAAAACTGGCCCTTGTATTTGCCTATGAGATTACTTTTGAGTTTTTTTTCCCCCTGGATACATCTTCAAGTTATTGTCTGGTATACTGTGAATTCAATCTGAAGAATTCCCTTTAGTATCTCTTACAGTCCAAGCCTAGTCATTACACTCCCTCAGCTTTTGTTTATCTGGGAATGTCTTAATTTCAGTCATTCTTGAAAGATAGTTTTGCTGAATATAGAATTCTTGGTTAACAGTTTTCGCAGCATTTTATATATGTCATCCATTGCTTCCTAGCCTCCAAGTTTTCTAAGAAACTGGCACTTAATCTTACTAAGAATCATTTGTATGTGAAATTCCTCTTCTTTTTCTCCATTTAGGATCCTTTCTTCATCTTTGGTTTGAGAGTATGATAACTGGCATATGTGGATCTCTTCGGGTTTATCTTACTCAGAGTTTATGAAGCTTCTTGTATGTGTAGATTCTTGTTGTTCATCAAATTTGGAGTTTTCAGCCATTATTTCTTCAAATATCCTTTTTCTTTCTTTATTCCTTCTTGGATTCCCATGATGTGTGTTAGTTTGGTGGTGTCTCACAATTCTGTTAGGCTTTGCTCAGTGTTCTTGATCCTTTTCTCTTTTGATTTCCAGACTCAGTAATTTTAATTGCCTTATCTTCTAATTTGCTGATTCTTTTGACAGTTCAGATCTGCTACTGAGTCCCTCCATTGTTTTTCTTTTCTTTCATTTCAGTTATTGTAGTTTTCACTTCCAGTATTTGGTTCTTTTTGTTGTTGTTGAGAACATATACAGCAAAACATATACCAATTGAACAGTTTCTACCTGTACAATACAGTGACACTGCTTTTATTTTTTTAGTTGAGCAACCATTCTCACTCTCCTTTTCTGAATTGTTCTATCCCCATTAATATAAACTCATTGGCCTTTAAGTTCCTATCTAATCTTTTGGGTTGTGGTTATCAATTTGATCCTATATATACATGTATATATACACATACATACATATATACATGCACACACACACACACATATATCTATATATACACAGTGTGTGTGTGTGTGTGTGTGTGGCTTATATCAAGGGGTGCATATGGTGCATATGAAGAGTCTTTTTGGACACAGTTAGCTTATGCTCCATATAGATCTTAAAAAAGCATAATGCTCAAGGGATATGTTTTATTTTACTAGATAAACTAAACTACTGTTTCGTTTTAAGAAGTGTTTAATTCCATTTTAATAGTGTCTATCTCTATTAATATTCTCATTTTGTTTTCCTGATTTCCTTTAGTTATCTGTGTTTTTCTTTAGTTCTTCAAGCATGTTCAATACTGTTGTATTAACGTCCTCTATTATCCAAAGGCACTCTGGTGGCACAGTGCCTAGGGCATTTGACTGCTAACCAGAAGGTTGGCGGCTCAAACCCACCAGACCTTCTGTGGAAAGAAGTTGAGGCAATCTACATTCATAAAAGACTTACCACCTTGGAAACCCAATGGGGTCGCTATGAGTCAGAATTGACTTGATGATAATTTTTTAAAAAAATCTATTACTCACCTTACTTTTATAATCTTCCTCTCCCTTGTGTTTTTGAATAGAATATCATTTCCAGTTTCTTTTCATAACTGGTGGTTTTCTTTTTTTTTTTGAAGCTGAAACACTGGAATATTACAGTGTGTTAGTTTTCTCACACCCCCCACAGTGCTTTCAAAAGTCCTGATTTTTGGAAGCCATCAGTTCTTATTCACCATTCCTTCTCAAACCCTGCAAGAGCTCCAATTCAGACCAGAGCAAGAGTTTAGTCAATTAAGGAAGCTCCCAGACAGATGAGAACAGATAAACTGAATAGTCTGCCAGGTAAATCTTACTTAGAACCAGACATCAGGGGCCCCATTTAAATGTGAGAACAGTGGTTCATGTCTATTATAGACACTCAGTTGGCATGCCAGGATGGGGAAGGTGCAGGAACAGTAGAGGAAGAAGTTTTCCTATCATTATTATAGTCTTTTCTTTTTTAGTGTGCAATCCAGTTAGTTTCTGAAATTCTTTGCCTACTTTTCAGCGTTCTTAGAGTTAAAATTACAGATTTTTAGTTGCTTTACTTGGTGCTTGTGTGGGAAAATGAAGCTCTTAGATCTGTTCATGATACCACTTTCCCAGAATTTGGCCCACGGATTGTATTTTTAACTACCATCAACATTCTATTTGCCTACAGCATAGTGCCTAAGGCACTTGACTGCTAACCAGGAGGCTGGCGGTTCAAACCCACCAGCCACTCCTTGGAAGGAAGATAGGGCAATCTACTTCCTTAATGATACTGCCTCGGAAACCCAAGGAGGGGTCGCTATGAGTCGGGTCCGACTTGATGGCACATAACAACAACAGACCCCAACTCCAAACAAATTTTAAAGCTTATGGTTATATTACTATCTGTATTGACAGTAAGCCTAAGTGTTTTTAGAGACAGTGTGAAAAGCACTGTTCACAGTGTTGGAGGTCAGTAACTGTTTGGTGAATGTAATTGACTATTGTAGTTAGGAGAGTCCCATATTGCTTCTGACTCACTAAGAGGCAATGGGTAAATCACCTTATTTCTGTCTCATAGTCTGTATAAATGACTTAGCCTTCATAACCTCTAAATCCTCTTCATGCTTCAGACTAATTACTTAAGAATACACCAAAATACTTTGTTTCAATAAAGGATATTTATTATGAAGACATAGCTAACATGCTTAGATTCACTGTTAACTATTTAAACATATGTCATTCTCAATGGAGTGTAAAGAAAAAACATGAAAGCAAAAATTGTTTTTGAGAATTTTTTGTTTTATAGCTATTATATTTCTATTTGCATATTTATTATCATTGACAAATTCCTCCTCCCAATCTCATATTCAGTAACTTTTTGGACACACGACGTCCACAATACAAAATCTGCATTGAAGTCTGAATGTAAATTATAGATTCCTTCACTTTTGAGATGATAAATGTGACTGAATATTGGCATTCCCAGATGCTGCCTACAGCAGTTTCCTTTCAAGAAATCAGATATTCTTCCTTACCACATACTAAGGATCTGTGTTCCGATGAAGTATTTCAGGGCACATTCATTCTTTCAGGGTATTAGAATTTTTAGTTAATATATGAGCAAACAATCAATCTTCACATAAGATGTAAACTACCCAAGATTTAGGTTTTCCAAAGAATAGGGTTTCTGCCAGAAAACAAAATTCTATTGAGTTTGTATTTTTATAATTAGTTGTATAAATCTGTAAAAAAAAAAAAAAAAAAATCCCAAAATAGTAATAACGACGAATGCCACTTACTGAACATTTAGTATGTGCTAGGCACCACGCTAGGCACTTTACATACATCATGTCATTGAATTTTTACAATAAATTAGTTAAGTGAGTAGGTATCATTAGTCCCATTGTATAAATGAGAAGACTGAGGCTTTCAGTGGTTAAGCAATTTGCCAAGATCAAACAGATAATGGAAACGGAAGTTTAAGGCAAGACTGACTGTGATTCCAAAGTCAGAGTACTCAACTACTATACTGTGTGCCATCAGTTAGAGAAACCTGATGAAGATAATGCCTGAAGATGAATGCTTAATGATTTTATTTTATCTGTGATACATTCACAAAAGTGTAATTTAAATCACCAGAGTAAGAAGCAAGACCAATTCAAGCAAAACACAAAAAACTCACACATTTTAATATTTTTATTTACACATTTCTTTTTCCATCATCCTTATTTGAGTAAGATTATAAATATATGAACACCTAAGTACATGCAACACATTTCACAAAGGGACAAAAATTTACACCACCACTCAATAAAGAACCAAAATTATTTTATACAAAGTGCTTGAGGAAAAAAAAAAACTTGTGGCACATTCAGACCATATTTATTCAAATACTTTCCAATAATTACCAAGGGATGCATCATTTATAAATAACATTCAAAACAATCCCTAATTTCTTCTATAAGCCAGAATTTATTTAATCAGGTGAATAGCCATTCCATTAAGTAATATTAAAGGCAGGTCACATAGCATCAAAATGAAACCGATGGGCTTCTTGTCGTTTTTCTCTGTCATCTGCTTTCTGAAAAAGAATTTATAAAAGACAGGAAAATGTCAAGAAAAGACTAATTTCTGAAATATAAGAGGTTAAGTTAAAAAAAAACCAAATTGCTCAGCTAGGTAATAGGTGTGATTCTGTAACTTCCTGCAGTAATCACATTAAATATTTTTGTAGTTTATACTAACTATGTCATAACTAAGGAGATCTGATGGCGTAGTGGATAAAGCATTTGGCTGCTAACCAGAAGATCAGTGGTTCAAACCCACCAGCTGGTCTGCGGAAGTAAGATGAGGCAATCTACTTGAATAAAGATTTACAGCCTTGGAAACCCAATGGGGGTCGCTATGAGTTGGATTTGACTTGATGACAGTGAGTTTTGTTTTGGTTTTTGGACTTCATAACTGATGATCACAAGAAGTGATCCTTAAATATTTAGTTATCATTTTTTATTTATTTGAAGGTAAATATTAAATTTTTTTAAGGATGAAATCAAGTATTACATATCTTTTCCACTCTTAACACTGTTGCTAATAAATGAATCTAAACTAAGTATATTAAATAACATTAATTATTTTTGGGTTAACTTTATGATTTCACAGACAATTATTGACCTTCTACTTGTAGCAAGATACTGTGCTTGGTATTTTGAGTAATTAAAAATAATATTCAGTTTTATATTTTGCTCTCAAGGAATTTAAAGCCTAGAAAGAAAAAAAACAAAACATACTGAGTAACTATGTTGTTATGTGCCGTGGAGTCGGACGCAACTCATAGCGACCCCTCCTTGGGTTTCCGAGGCAGTATCACTACGGAAGTAGATCGCCCAATCTTCCTTCCAAGGAGTGGCTGGTGGGTTTGAACCACCAACCTTCTGGTTAGCAGTCAAGTGCCTTAGGGACTATGCTACCAGAGCTCCCTATAGTTCTGGATAAAAAGTGAAAAATGTTAACAATATTCTGAGAAAGAGATTATTCCCATGTTGGGTTAAGGAAAGGAAAACCTTTGAAAGGATAGTGTTTATGACAGTGGAGGGGAAGACCTGTCATTACAAACTGGGGGTAAAATATAAGCGATCCTAAGATGTCTCGTAGGAGCATAGAATATGTGAAAGGAAGTAATAAGAAATAAAGCTGGAAAGGTATATACTGTGGAGTCACATGAAAATACCCTGAAGGCCAGGTTTGAAAAGTGCAGGCATTTCAGGCAGTCGACAGTCATTAGAGGTTTTGGAGCAGGGAAGTGACATGATTAAGGTTAAAGTTAATGATGGGCACTCTGGCAGGAATGTGATGAATGGAGTGAAAGGGGAGAGAGTGAAGCGAGGACACCAGGCGGGATAGAACAAGGGGCTGGACAAGAGCAGTGGTAGTAGGAATGCAGAATTAGAGTTAGCTGCAGAGATGTTTATGGAGGCAGAATTAATATGGCAACTCATAAAATCTTGTAGGTAAGTGAGAAAGAAGAATGAGAGACGAAGCTTTACAATACTAGTTTTGTGGTGCCTCTGAGAAGTGATAGGTAGAGATGTTACAGACAGAACTGCAAATGGGGAAGGGACCTCTGGAGAGAGACTGAGGGCTGGATATATTAAATTTTAGATGAAACTGGCAGAGAAGATGTAGGAAGTCACTGTGGAACGTCCGTACTTAGGAAACGACAGAGAGGAGCAGCTAGGGTGGGTGAAGAACGAGTGGTCAAGCAGGCAGACCAGTGTGCCACAGGAGGTGGGTGCACAGGAGAGCATGGTACACGTCAGGCATGGAAATACATCATCTGTCTTTAAAACTCTTCTCATATTTTAGTCACTGCATTATTATTGTAAGTCCACAATGCTTATGCTGTAATCAGATCTCCTGAAAGATTAATGAAATTAATTTCCTTACTTTCACAGGTCTGATGTTGTTGTTGTTATGTGCTGTTGAGTCAGATCTGACTCACAGTGACCCCTCCTTGGATTTCTGAGGTGGTATCACTAGGGAAGTAGATTGCCCAACCTTCCTTCTGAGGAGTGGTTGGTGGGTTTGAAGTGCCAGCCTTCTGGTTAGCAGTCAAGTGCCTTAGGCACTAGGCTACCAGTGCTCCAGGTCTAGAGCTAGAAAATATTTCAGATTATGCTCTGGTCCTTCTGGACAAAAGTATGTAGGGTCACCCTTGATTTTTTACCCCTTAAGTTGGAATCTTAAAGTTAACTAAATACGTAACTTTCTGTTATCATTTTTGGTATTTAAGGGAGTGATTTTTTAAACGAGACAAAGCAGCACAGTTAACATGTTCTCATTTGTGTAGGTCAAAAGCTAAGATAAAATACAGCAGTATTTTAGTTAACAAAAAATGATTATGAGGGGGCTGACAATAACAAGAGAACAAGTACAAAAAAAAAAAAGCATCCTTGTTTTGTGACATAAACAAGCTCTTTTTGGAGGCATTGTTGGGACCTACTAGTTATGTACTTGGGCACTCTGGTGGCATAGTGCCTAAGGGACTTGACTGCTAACTAGAAGGCTGGTGGTTTAAACCCACCAGCCAGTCCTCGGAAGGAAGGTTGGGCAATCTACTTCTGTAGTGATGCCACCTTGGAAACCCAAGGAGGGGTTGCTGTGAGTCGGGTCTGACTCGACGGCACATAATAACAACAACAAAGTTATGTACTTAATATATATTCGTGAACAAATAGAAACTAGCCCTTTAAATTCATGTCTAAACTGGTAATAAATTCATGGTGATACCCTGTTTTTTTCCTTTACATAAACACTGTATAAAAAAAAAATCTTCTAAAAATAGACTATGTGTTTGGGAGTTTTGTTTTCAATTATTATTCACAAGATTTCAAACTAAAGAACAGAAATCAGTTTAGTTTAATGCAGAGTACCTGATACATGGGAAAGATGTTTATCACTTTAGTTACTCCCCACCTAAACTTCGAGAAAAATCATTTAATCTCTCTGTGCTCAAATTTATCATAAAATGAGCTAGTTATTAGTCCTGGAAACAGAATGTCCATGGATCTATCTGTAGATAATAAATACAGGCTCATTAAAAAAAACTGATTATTACTTTTCAGGCCATTGATAACTGCTTTTCAAATTTTCCTGTATACCAGAAATCCAAATCCGCTGTTGGGAAGTCGATTTCCAGTTCTGGTGATTGTGTGTGTCAGGGCAGAAGTGCCATCCCCAGAGCTCTCGGGGGCTGACTGGCAACCCTGTGCGTATCAGGGTAGAAGTACCGTCCCGAGTTCTCGGGGGTTGACTGGCGACCCCGTACGTGTCAGGGTAGAAGTGCCCTCCCCAGAGCTCTTGGCTGATTTTTCAGAAGTCGAGTGCCAGGCCTGCCTTCAGAGGTGCCTCTGGGTGGCTGAACTGCCACCTTTCATTAGCTGCTGAGCATCTAGGGAATCACGTTATTATTCAGAATCAAACTTTTAAAATAAATATGCTCCAGTGATATATATACATTTCTAAGAGACACTAGTAATTTCAGGGGATAAAAGAAATTATTATCAATAAAATGAAATTCTGGACACAATTTGAAAAATCAGAAAAAGCCTAGTCATGTGAAAAAGTTTAAAATAAATACAGTATTTTTCAAAGGCAATATATTACTACAGTAAATTAACTAAAGTTACATGTTTCATTTAATCAAACAAACCTTTTCCTGCCAATGTAAAATGCCAATGATTGCCAAGATGAAAACACAGACACCGATTAGAGCTATAGCAGTGAGTAGAACAATGTTGCTTGGTGTGAGATAGAGTTTGGCACTCCAGCTGTAGGTGAAAACAGAAGAATTAAAATGATAAATTTTAACTTAAAAATGATAAACTTATACTGAGACCAAGAAGCAAAAATGCTTATTAATCCATTCACCTATCCATTCATTACATATAAAAAGCAATTAAATTTAGATAGTGCTAAGAATATTAATGATCCTGCAGAGTTAGTTCAGATTTTACTCAGAGAACTGAAATAGAATAGAATTTTTAATGAAATACTTTGATATTTTTTCTTTTTCTAAGTTTGATCCTATGAGAATTATTCATATGGAAACTTACCAAATGTACTCTGGACAATTTTAGACATCTTTTTTATATCTTCGCTGACTTGCTGAATTTAACATCTTGAACTCTAAGGCTAAGTAGTCACATGATTTCCACAACATAATCTTTTCTGTTGATCCCTGTCAACCACTGTACTGTGACTCTCTAACATAAAGATATGGCCAACTGGGTATAACAAGACGGCCTCTGACAACCTCTATTATTTCTATGTCATCTAGTAGGTTTACATCACTATAGTGACTTTTAGGTTGAGACTTATTACAACATCACTTCTAGGCCCTCGGTGTTAATGCAATATACAAATTAAAGGTCATTAGCATAAAGAAAACTAGATCTTCCCTTTTCAAACAGTCCATATAAATAGCACATGCAGAGCCTTTAACTGAAGGCTCTATTACCACCACTGTAGGTTATTTACATAGACTTTATTGATCTCTCTGAGAAATAATGGATATATTTTCATTTTAAAAGTTTAATAACTTTAATATCTTAAATAACATTCTGATGAATAACAAGTAGCTACTGACTTATTTTAGGATGCTAATTAAAATTTATTGATCTACAAGTTAGCCTACACTCAATAAGTCTCAAATATACCCAAAGTAAAGTCAATTTGATTTTTTATTATCTACGTAAGTTTGAAAAGAACTTTTTCTTTCTTTTAAAGACAGATCAGGAGAAACATGAAAAATGTTAAGATTATGGAAGAAAGCTGTAATAGAATTTTCCAGAAATTCATAAGAGGAAGAAAATGAACAGTGTTAATTACCTCCTGTTAGCTACTCTCAGTACCTTATTCAGATTTAAAATTATTTGACAATCAAGTACAATGAAAGGCCAAACCTCAGCTTCCTACTCGGAAGCAGTACTTGGCCAGTTTCCTGTATATCTTTCCTTACAGGAAATATATATGCATAAGTATGTCTTTTACAAATAAATAGTCGCTTATTAGAAATAGTCGTCTGCTCCTCCCTGACCCCGCACCGCCATCATTGCTTATAAAACTAAAGAGATTGTTCCATGAACATGGCAGGACATTTCTATACCTGTGTCTTGGTTCTGCATCCTATAGAAGTACTGTAATTTACATAGTTTTTTAATCTGAGGTCTAGTTTTTCTAGTTTTATTTTAACTTTCATGTATAGAAAACTAAAACACACATTATATTGTTGTTGTTAGGTGCTGGCGAGTCGTTTCCAACTCATAGTGACCCCATGCACAACAGAATGAAACACCGCCTGATCCCACGCCAGCTCCATGATCCCTGCTAGACTTGAGCCCATCATCGCAGCCACTGTGTCAATCCAGCTCGTTGAAGGCCTCCCCCTCTTTCTTCGACCCTTCACCCTCCAAGCATGACATCCTTCTCCAGGGAATGATCCCTTCTGACAACATGACCAAAATAGGTGAGATGAAGTCTGGCCATTCTCGCTTCCAAGGAGCATTTCAGGTGCACTTTCTCCAGGACAGAT